AGAATGTACATTTAAAATATGAAAATGTAGGTTTTAAATTTGAAAAGAAGACTTCAAGATTTAGTTTTAATTGCCTAAGCCTGCACCAATAATGACAAGTACATTTTGAAGATGATCTTTGCAAATCTCTGGTTAAAGTATTGTTGTGCATCTGAATAAAACACTTACAAATAGATCAGGAGCAAATTCTCTCTCAAATTCAGAAGAAGTTTCTCATGGTTCAATGCCATATACAAATGCTTTGTTTCGAAGAGCTTTTCAAATTTTCTAAAGAATGTAAAAATTTCAACTTTTTTCATGGAGCCAACCTGTCGGGCCAACTCATCTACATCATTCATCCTCCTTTGAAGTTCTTCATGTCTTTTCATCAGCTCATAAAAGCGTTCCTTTTCTGACGTTGTATTGGGCTTCTCAGGTGAGCTATCAATGTCAGAGAGAAGATCTTCCACGAAATCGTCATCATCACTGAACATTCTAAACAAAGTTTGAGAGCTTGAAAGATTGGACGAGATGTTGTGTGGTCGAAATGCTGAGATGAACCAAACTTATATAAAGCTAGATCAATTAGACATAGAGTAACTTTCCCTGTGAGCAACCCGCACTCCAGAAAGATGTATGAAGTTTTGCACTTTCAATAAAGCAAATTAATTTCAGATTCTTTAAGTTTAAACTCTTTTCAAACACGAATTGCAACAGCGACCTTAACGTCCTTTCAACTTTGTATACCCAAGCCCAAATTTCGCTATGGAGTGAAGCATGATGAAATAATATTACTAGCTCGTCTGCTCCCTTAAAGAAATCTTAGCGACCAGGTATCACAAAAACAAGAAAAACAGTCAGTACACTGATATGGCAGCTTTATCGATATTATGTATACGCAACAACAGAAAAGACACGAATGACATTACACGTATAAATAGATCACATCTATGCGTTCGATATTAACAAGTGAAAGTGAAATTCAGCATAATTTCATAACAACTTCAATTTGACGAGGGCTTGTTTGACTTCTTCATTTGTTTCGGATAACTTTATTAGGTCATCAATAACACAGCGAACACGCACTTCAAACTGTCCACTTTTGGCGCATCGCTTCAACAGATTCGATACAAGTTTAACAACCTCAAAAAAACTT